TATCCCTCAATGCTGAGGCATCTTCTGCTGTTTTGATTGAGCAAAGTAGAGGGTATACCGCTCCAAGATGGCCGCCGTATTTCCTGCGCCGGAGCGGCCAATGCGGGGTCTACTCTTATATTATGTCTATGGTCTTCCTTATCTCCTCTTTTAGGGGTACAGCCAATCAGGCTGAGGTCTACTGTGATGCGTTTCATTTAATGTTACTGAAATAAAGGAACTTTTATTCTTATTGATTGAATAAACCAACTTGTGCCTTGTCCAGTTAGCTGCCTGAATGAAATAAACAGGCTAATAATGTGACATGTGAAGCAGAAAGAATAGTTAATTTTCCTCCTTTGTAAAACACATTTGCAAATGACACAGTTAGGCAACCTGACCCACCATACCGTTTGCCTAAGCTGCCACTTCGGGGAGCAAACCCCGCACCCCCAGCCTTCCCCAAACTGACACCTCTCATCGTCAATTGGAAGCTATCGTAGCTCATCTTTCGTGAGAAGTTGAGTAGAGTCATATATAATGTAGAAGGTCCCATCATTTAGCAACTGTAAAAAAAAAGGCTGAAGGTGTAAAGAAAAGCGTGTAAAGACATGGCAAGACATCACTGGGACTCAACTTCCTGAAGTTAGCAACTACCCAACGATATTGTTGTATGACTCCAGAAAACTACAGCAGGTCCGGACAATAAAGACATGTTTTAGAACGTTCAAGTATCCAAGACGTCGAGGCCACGGTCTGCTTCTGAAGTTTATGTAACGAGTTTTACTTCTATATGACACTAAGCAAAGTTCATTGGCACATAATATGAACTGTACTCGCGGCTCCTTATATTTACATTTTCTTCTAGACACTTAAACCACACAAAGAATCCAGGTTAGGTAACAGAAAAGCAACAAGTTACGTAGCGAGTACCCGGAGGGAGGAGGGGCCTCAGACTGGCGCAGGGCTAGCGGAGAGAAGCACGTTCGGACGCTCCTAGTTAATCACAATCTTCTGACTTTCAACAAAGCTGTTGGTGTCGGTGAGCGGCTGTATACAGCGTTAGAGAAATGGGGAACCGAGTGGGCCGTGAGGACTACGAGTGGGTCTACACGGACCAGCCGCACGCAGACAGAAGAAAAGAAATTCTGGGTGAGCTAGCTTATGCGTTAGCAACTTTCCACATGATAAAAAGTAAACTTCGAATGACTTAAACTTAGTTTAATAGTCTTGTAAATATATGTTGGGTTATATTGTGTATCTGTGTGACAAGCTACGCTTTTAGTTTGAAAATTCTGATTGCCGTCGCAGATAAGGAAAGCTAACGGTCCCGTTTCCTCCGATTTAAGCTAACTGAGCCTAAGTTGGATTTTACGGTGGTTAACGGTTAACGCCCTTTTGAAAGACGCACAGCCGCCCCCGTATCTGCTACCAGCTTCATGTCCTGTATGTTCTACAAACATGGCAGTTCACCAATGCCATGTTTTATATAAAAGCCGTCACGCAGGAATAAATCTGCCTTTAATGCTGTGCTCCGCTACAGGACGTCAGGGCACCACTCCCTAAAGTAACATTTTCACCGGGTAGAGAGACGTCAGCACCGCAGCATAAATGTATGAGGGTAATTTCAGTAATATTTCACGGGCTCAAATGGGAGAGAAGGTCATTTGAATCTATGTAAAGTTTTGGGATTTCTAACATTTCCACGTCCATCCGGTTGCTATACAACAGTTGTCCTTCCATTCATAGACAAAAGTAGTCCGGCTGTCGGGCCGAGCCACTGGCCAGGCAGGCCATGACATCTGGCACTGCTCCACAGATGTTATGTCCACATGCAGGCCTGGAAGACGATGGATGGGGCAAAAGTCGAGGCATGTTCACAGAATTCCTCAAAGTTGGAAATCCATGGATGGGTTTTATTCGAGAATTCAGAAACAAGTCATTTGTTTTGTATGTATTCAGGTTATTACAGCATTTGCCATCTCATGTTCACCGGTCAGATTCACATGCTGTCACGTAGAATCCCATTGTATGGTCACAATTAACATCCAAGCACATACAGTTCAACCCGATTCCAATGAAGCCAAGTCAATAAAGTTTATTTCACTTTATGGGGCGGTTTGGTCAGGTTGTTAAAGTCACAAATCCAGCAATTTGAGTCAACATTAAAGCTGAGTTATCACTTCTCATAATGCACCTCAGGGTTATGGAGAGGATGAGCAACAGGATGTCTAGCTCTACATGCCTTCTGGTTCTGCTTTGAGCCGACTGGTTCTGTTGTGACGTGAACTTATTTAAACAGGAAAAGATTAAAAGAAATCTGCTCTGGCTCGGCATAATTGCTGTTTTACAGCGAGTTATTGCTCTGCAAAACATGAAAACACACAGATATCCCACATCATATCACATTAATATACATTATAGACTTATTATAAGCAATGTTTACACAGAAAAATGATCTCTGGCTGTAACAGTTTTTAAAAGCTGGTAGTGGCAAGTGCCCACTTGTACCAGACCTAGTGGAGTTACCATTTCAAACAGATGCCGGAGCAGAAAGAGCTACATCATTGGTACCATGAAAAATCTGAAAATACAACTTAATATCACTGTACATAACATAATTTTGAAAAATTAAAGCATTTGAAGAAGAAAGAACTGTACAGTGATGAGTTGAACTAGGAAGTTTGTTAGGAGTTTAGCACGATGGTAAGAGTTTTCTAGGCTTTATTGTAGAGCCTGGCTATGGGTTCCAAGATGTCAATGTTAGTGAGGGAGTACAACATGGCTGATATTATTATGGCATGAAGATATGTGTTTGTAACTAGGCCTGTCAGAATGAATAATACATTAATTAATTAGATGATAAATTAGAACAGCCTTAATAATTTACATTTGTGTGGCTTATTGTTCTTTATCTCTTTTTTTATCAAAAACTGGATGACAAAAGTATTCAGTCTGGGGTTTTTGTCTAAACAAGCCCGCTTTTGAAGGATAATTTTGTTTATAAAGACTTCCTTATTTATTTTATTTGTTGTTTCGGATATTTAAGATATCTTCCAGTTCCAGTGTTAAATGTTCATTAGAAATATAAGTTTACTGATCTCTGAGAATGTGTTTTTGCATTATTATTATAGGAAATTCTGGGACAATTCATTGTCCAGCAAAGTTTGTTATGACAGGCCTAGTCTTTACACTCACACTTTTGGGTTTTTGTGTCCTTCAGCTAAATATCCAGAAATCAAGTCCTTGATGGGTCCAGATCGGAGGCTGAAGTGGATTGTGTGCATGATGGTGGGGATCCAGTTCTTGGCGTTCTACCTGGTCAAAGACTTGGACTGGAAGTGGGTTCTGTTTTGGACATACGCGTTTGGCAGCTGCATCAACCACTCCATGACCCTGGCCATTCACGAGATCTCGCACAACACCGCCTTCGGGAACAACAAAGCTATGTGGAACCGCTATTTCGCCATGTTCGCCAACCTGCCCATCGGTTTGCCATACTCGGCCTCCTTCAAGCGCTACCACCTGGACCACCATCGCTACCTGGGCGGTGACGGCATCGACGTGGACATCCCCACTGACTTCGAAGGCTGGTTCTTCTGCACCCGCCTCCGCAAGTTTGTCTGGATCATCCTGCAGCCGCTGTTCTACGCCGTGCGGCCACTCTGCATCAACCCCAAACCAGTCAGCCAGCTGGAGCTGACCAACGTGGCTGTGCAGCTCTGCTTTGACGTCCTGCTGTCCTGGACATGGGGGGCCAAGCCTGTGGTCTACATGCTGGCCGGCTCCATGCTGGGGATGGGCTTGCACCCCATCTCTGGCCACTTCATCGCTGAGCACTACATGTTCCTGAAGGGCCATGAAACATACTCGTACTACGGCTGCCTCAACCTCCTCACCTTCAATGTGGGCTACCACAATGAGCACCACGACTTCCCCAGCATCCCAGGGCGAAGGCTTCCTTTGGTCAGTACAGCCCCACAACAGTCATCTGAGAGGAATATCTATATGAATTTATACTTCTTTCTGCTTCTTTTTATTCATAGTTTATCTTAGTTTGTTACATGATCTATTCATATTTATTAGGAATGCACCGATAAATTGGCCCCGACGTCCTTAATTTTGGGAGATTGCTGATCGGCCGATCCCTGCATGTGAAGCCGATCTTATCTGCCTTGTCAAAGGTCTAAAAACCTTCCACTGTCCTCCAATGCTCTTGAGAGAGAGAGATTTTAATAGCTCATTTATTTTTCAATAAATAATCGACATAGTATCACAAACTATGTAACAGTAAAAAAAAACAAACAGAAAAACTAAACATACACCACACAATACATTACATTAACACCCTTCCAAAAATGATTTCTCCTTCTACCACAGAGAGAGAGAGAGAGTGTGAGTGAGAGTGAGTTGATTGTTAGCTCCATCCACCAGGACATATCTGCATGTTCACAGCCAGCTGACAATAATCACCCCACTGTTGCCAACTCAGCAACTTTCCTGCTATATGTATCAACAATTCAGACAAAAAGAAAAAGTTGGCCAAAATCAGAATTAGTAAGGTTTTTTAAAGATTGGTAATCAGTGATCAGCCAGAAATCTTCAATCTGTGTTCCCTGATTATTTCCGCTGTTTAAAAAGTCTGACTTGTTGATTCTGAGTTTTGGCTTTTTTGTCTGAAATTATACTAAATACAGCAAGAAAGTTGCTGAGTTATCAACAATAGGGTGACTTTTACTAACTGCAAACATGCAGATATGACCTGGTGGGCGGGGCTAACAGTCAAAGAGGACAGTGATAGATTTGTTGTTTTAGACCTTGGGCAAATTAGATAAGATTGGGCTCACATATCGACCAACCACTCATCTCCCAAAATGAAGGAAATCTGGACTTATTTGTGCACCCCTAGTAAATCGACAATCAGCCTGACAACTGAATGACGTAAAATATGAAATGATATGAAACCTCAGCAATGGCTCGGTCTGACGAAGAAATGAAATGGTTCTAACCCGACTCTCCATCTGTCTTCTAGGTGAAGAAGATGGCTCCTGAGTACTACAATGACCTGCCGCAGTACACGTCCTGGGTGAGGGTCCTGTATGACTTCATCATGGACGACACGTTGAGCCCGTACTCCCGGATCAAGAGGAAGTTAAAGGGAGAGGTCAAACAGGAGTGACCGAAACTGCAGCATCCACATGACTGAGGCCTTCTCACATATCTCTACTGCTTCCTGCTTCCGTTCAGCTCAGTCCAACACAGGCAGATTTACTTTTGTGTTTTTGCACAAAAAGGCCTTCAATTGTGGATAAAAAGATGTTACTGAGATTTTTACTTGTTGCGATATAATTATATATGTCTGCTTCACTTCAAGCCCATCAGACGTTTTTAGAGTTGGGGTTGTGTTGAGTACTTATAAATCATTAGTATCTGAGCTGGTCAGAGTGTTTTTTTTTTTTGTTGTTTTTTTTAGTTCTGATTAATCTAGAGATGAAATGGTTGCCATTGTAACACTGTATGTTAAAATAAAATGACTCCTGCTTTTGTAAGCTCGGTTTTGAAGCTTTCCTGTCAGTTTCATTTCTAATTCGTCATAACAGCTTTGCTGCAGTTATATTGGCTCTAACAGGGCAGCTGCAGTGGAATAATATGAGGACCAATTTGCTATGGTGATTTCCATAGTACATACAAAGCGTGTGGGTGGGTTTATAGGGTTTATGTATGTGCAGTGTTAGTTATGGATTCGAAACTAAAACGTAAAGGAGATGTGTTGAGCTAAAGTCAAACCATATGTGAGCTGGTTTAAACTTTAAACTTTGTGACACGTCTCTATAAATTGGCTGACCTTTTGACCTCCTGGCTTTTCTTTCTGGGTTCTCTGATATCCCAGCACCGGCGCTCAGTATTTCCATCCCAGTAGAACTTTTTTCTCTGTGTTCTTATTTTTTTTCCTGGGATTCTGCCAGAATTGGACAGAGTTTAGCACGACCTGGCTAGTAACCCTCAGGCATAGCTGCAGCAGTGACATGGACATGTTTCATTTTAGTCAATCATTGAGTGAAAAGATCTTTGTATTTCTGTGTTGGTCTGCTTCACACAACCCCACCTCTGAAAATCAGCAGTGGTCTGGCGAGGACGTTAAAGAAAATTTAAATGAAAATCAATTATTAGACAGTTTGAATAGATTCAGCTGTATTGTGCTGAAGGTGATCGTAAATATTCTCAGTAATGTTGCAGATGGAGGCTTCTCGTGCTGAAAAGCTCGAGGGGAAGCCTGCGTCCGAATCTGTCTGCCATCTTGGTTTACCGCTCAGATTAACTAACCCACGCGAACCTTTCCCACACTCTCAAGGCCTCAGTGATGCAACTGTTCCCGCTTATTTGACAAAGGTCAATGTGTGTCCATGACAACTCGAGTGTTTATGGGGCTACCAATGCACTAAAGTCCCTGAAAGTTGGCACACGCTACAAGTGTTGTGGATGTTACAGTGATAACAGAGTGGAGCTTTCAGAACTCTGACTTGTCTCATGTCTAGAGATGCTAACAGGCGATAGCCACATCTCTGCTTGAAGACCCTCACTGCTCAGTCTGCTGCTGCTGGGTGCAGTGTGACCTTCAGATGTCCTCCACCCTGAACTGCTATATTCTAGGTCATGGATGTGAAGCACAGAGCATCGTCATGGGTAGGATCTGTGCAAATGAACTGAGGCTGTTGTAATATGCTGCTATCAGAGATTCCTACCTGTTTCCAGAATGCAGCTTCTCTCTCCCAGTATTCATCACCAGAAAAGTTTAATACCGCCTTGTTCTAATCCTCCTCCTGAAATTAAAGCTGCTCCTGCCTCATTCTGTACTTTCTGTTCGAAGCAAGCTGTGACTCAGTGAACATGAAGTCTGCTCTGCTTGCTTAGTTTATTGATTTCATGTTCAGTATTGTGATTTTTAACTCGATGCAATAAAAACTAATACTTATTTTCATACACTGAAAATAGTTTTTTTTTTCTATCATCACCACATCCTTCCCGTCATCTGGAACAGGATGGACACTTAAGTTTTCAGCCAAGAGGAACAGAAAAATAGTTTCAGAGGAAAGTTTCACCTGTTCCTGGTTAGATCCAATCGACAACAGCTAAAACCTGTAGATGGAGCCTGAACAGACTCCTATTGGTTCGGGAACTATTTAATTGTAAGCATAGCAGACTGCAGAAAGAGCCGGCAGGTGTTATATGATATTCTGTGACTGTAGGAGGAGCTGTTGTTGTTTTACACCATACTTTGCCAAACCTCGACCTTATGCAGTGGTATCCAGAGTTGGTCCTCAAGGCCCGGGATCCTGCATGTTTTCGTTCCTTCATGGTGGTAGTAACCTCCTCAGCAGGTCAAGGTTCTCCTTAGGCCTTCTAATGAGCCATCATTTGATGCAGGTGTGTTAAACCAGGGAGAGAACTAAAACATGCAGGATGCCGGCCCCCCGAAGACCGACTCTGGACACCACTGGCCTAAAGTCAAAGAATGAAAAGTAACACATTACTTTCCGTTCCAAGATGTTTCGTAACATCTCAGTGGTAAGATGTTAAGAAAAGTAACATCTTACCACTAATATTGTGACCTATGGAATACAGGTGGTGAGAATATGACAGCGATTATCACATATCGTGACCAAACTGTGTAAAGAAACATACTAAATATTTAAACCAAACTGTTTCTGCTAACTCTCCTTAACAATGAAAGTCAAATTTTTTTCATGATATACAAAGAGAAGATCCATTAATGACCCATATTCATTACACGCAGGTGAAATGACGAGAGAAAATGACCCAAACTTCAATGGGCGGACATCACTTACTATGAATATTAAATTTAATTGTTCACAATAAGATCAACTAGATACAAAAGTAAGACAAATACAGGTGCTGGTCATAAAATTAGAATATTGTGATAAAGTTCATT